CCCCCTCCCCCTCACCCCGGTGCCCGGAGCTGCACCGCAGCTCTGCGGCCCCCACCTCCTGCTCGCTGCTCTCCCCGCTGGCTCTGCCAGCTCCGGGCCCTGCCGGCCGCCCGAGGAGGAACCTGGGGGGCTCAGAGGCGTTGAATTCCGTCAGCGACTCCGGGCTGGACCGGGACACAAGGCAGCGCTGCCTCAGTCTAACCTATCGCTCAGCTCCCTCCCCTATCAGCTGCCTCTAAACACGGCCGCCTTTGCCAACATCTTTGATGTACTTGATGCTCTGGTTCAAGGCTGATGCCATCTTGCAAAGAAGGGTTTAAAATATGTATTTGCTTGGGAGACGGTGATTGCTGTTGCTGCCAGAGATAGGGATCTCGGCTCCTCGGTGGCTCCACGGGATCATAATCGCTTGCATTCCGGGAACGCTCAGGAAGATCGACCGAGATAAGCACCTGCAGCCCTCCTTCCCTCCGCCGGCCCAGATGAAGTGCCTGCAACGGGCCGAGGCAGAACGGGGCTGTGGGAAGAACACCGCCTCTGCCGAGCGCTGACGGGGCCGGAGCACCGCGGAAGCGCGAGGGGACGGGAACAGACGGTGGTCACGCTCCTCTGGGGGCAAAGGAGCTGCGCCTTGGGGCACTGGTCGCACAGCTGTAGTCGGAGGTTGTGGGTCCTCCAGCAGCTGATGGATGACAAAGCGAGCGGGGAAACCGCTGACGTCATTTTGTTTCCCCTTTCCTCAGAAGTGGGGAGACGCTGTGACACCAGACGCTGAGCTGGCAGCCCCGATGCTTGCTTTGAGCCCCAGGACGAGGGTCTTTCCCAACAGAGCCGCGGACAGGGAGCCGGCGCAGCGGCAGGCGGGAAGTCGGGAACAGGACGCGAAGGATCAGGCAGAGGAAGGGCTCGGCTTCATCACAGCCTGCTCTTTGCTTCTGACCACAGTTAACGACTTTTCCCCTCCTTGGATGGACGCCGTCCAACGTCAGCGCAGTCCCAACCTTCACACTCAGTCCAGCGAAACATTAAAGCTTTTCTGTCCCAAAAAACTGCTGCACAAGTGGGAAAGCAGAGCTTCGCAGCCAGCTGCGCCGGGGCCGGGGGGGGGGGCTGGAATTCCTCCCACTGTTGTGCTTTGCCTTGTTCTTCCTGCAGGTGAACAAATCCCCGGTGCAAAAATCAGAAAGCAAACAACGTGGGATCCGGGATGGGGGTAGGGATCGGAGCTTTGAGAACTCCCGCTCCCTCAGCCAGGCTTTTGCAACACTGCGCAGAGCTGTGCGTGCAATCTGAAGTGAGCACAGAGCTTGGGCAAGGGCTGCAAACACCAGTTGAGAAACGGGAAAGATTCGCAGATGAAGTATTTTTAAGGTGGGGAAAGACGGAATATGGAGAAGCAGGCAGAATTGTCCTTGTCCTCATCGTAGGACCCAACGCTTGACATCTCCGTATCTCTCTTGCAAGAATGAATTAACCTCTTGTATGTTCTAGCATTTCACCCCTCTAATCCTCATTTTTACAAGCAAGGAAACTGAGGCACGGGGAGCAGAATCGCTTCACGTACGGCTTCTAAGTTTGGCCCTTTGCCACCCAGCTGCAGGTTTGCAACTGCCCTCGTTCGCAGAGGGGACCAAGGAGAAGCTGCTTATTCGTTTTTGAAAATTACGCTCGTGGTTGTCCTCAAATGGCAATCCCACTTTATTACTACACAGGCAGGGTGCACCTCTAGCTCTAGGCCTGCTAGCCTCTCTAGCCTTTGGACAACAGCATCGTTTCAAGAAAAGAGGGCCCTGAAGAGGCCACCTGGTCACCCCCCCGTTCCAAAGAGGAATCTTAATCTTTTAGCTGTTTATGAAACTTGATTTTAAAGCCTCTGGCGAGACCACCGATCACTGTCCGTGGGCAGTCCGTTCCGACATCAGTCCTTCTGCATTATCGAGTTGCTCCCAGTCCCAGTCGTGCAGTTAACTCCACTCACAATTTGTCTCCCTTCCCAGCGCAGCTATCTGTTGGGCGTTTGAGGACTATTCCTCACGCCTCTCTCCAGCGTTCTCTAGACAAAACAAACCCGTTTCCTTCCATCTGTCCTTGCAGGTCATGTTTTTCCTACACCTCTGCTCATTCTCACTGCTCTCCCCTGGATCCCCTCCAGCTCCTCCCAGAACTGGACAGTATTCTAGCTGAGGCCTTACCAGTATCTAGGAGAATTATTTCCTATGTCTGGCAAACAGCGCTCCTGTTTATGCATTCCACAGGGGTGTTTGGGTTTTGTTGTTGTTGTTGTTGTTGCAACAATACGACTTTTTTGACTCATGTTATGCTTCACTGCAGCCCCTAGATTTCCTTCTGAAAGCCCTTAGGAATTGCATCAGATTAAGGACGGAGCTGCTCCCCCTGCTAGGACTGATGTGCTGAACTCTGGCTCCGAGTCCTGCTTCCAGACCAAGCTCCAGGCTTTTCTCTGGAATATCCAGTAGCCGATGTCCTTTGACCCAGGAGAGGGGTGACAAGAAAACGAGCACTCCGCAGACTTGCGAGCCTCTTTTCTGGTAACAAAAACCTTCTCCAGATATAAGCCCCCAGCCTGACACCTGGGTAGCAGAGGCAGGCGAGCATCCGTTCAGCTCACCCAGCAGCCCTGCCTCACCGGATCTGCCTGCGACACCGAGCAACAGCCGCCTGCGCGGCTGGAAGAGGCTTGGCAGTTACAGCGAGCGTCCCAGGAGTCAAGCGTTCGCTTTGTGTCCTAGCCCTGGGCAGGAACAGGGGAGAGCGCCGGCTTCTGAAACAAGCCAGGCCCAGCACTCTGCGAGGGAACTCGGAACAGCTGGCAGCGACTTACAGAGCGTAATGTTAGATCTGGCTCGGACTCGCCTCCTGAGACCGAAGGCTGCGGGAGCTAGAGAGAACGGCAACGCCGTCTTCCAGCTGTGGGAACCAAAGCAGCAAACACACAAGGCTAGACATCAGGAAACAGTCCTCGCCTTGGGGTCCTCCGTACAAGGAGGGACAGACCGTATTATCTAATGAAACTACATTTCCATGGGAAAATGGAACAGACAAAGATGACTTTACGCAAGAACTTCCCTGATCTCGGTGTAAAGATACTCAGCTTTACAGCGGTTCTAATTTGTGCTGTTTCCCGTAATCCCTGAAAACAGGTAAACCAGAGCTCTCATCTTCCCAGAAAGCCTTAAAGCTGACCGATACCCGCTGCCGCTATCAGTGCGGCAGTCCAAAAAGCCACTCCGATACCTGCGCTGTCCGCAGGGCACCACTCCAAAGACTCGCTCTGAAAGGATGACACTGTCTTGCTTCCTCACCTTTCTGGTATTGTTTAGAAAAACATTCCTCCTACGTGGCAGCTGTTCCTTCCAGGTAGGGGAAGAGCCATCTCCTCTGCAGCTCTTGCTGCTGAAATATCCTCCTAATGCACTTTTCCATGTTATCTTTAACTTTTTATGTTCCTCAAGAAGAATCTCACTCCTTCCCTGCGGGGGAATTTTTTTGTTACTTTCCCCCCCCCCTCCTCGTAAGTCTTAAATTGGAGACCAGGAGACCAGCAAGCCTCTAGAGCCGCGCAGAACCCTGTTAATTTAGTTGAACTAATTAGGAGATCTGTTGATATAGAGCTGCCATGCCTTTATTCTGCAAACACTTGTGTTCTCTTTTTGAGTTTAACGTATGCTGAACCCATAAACATGTAAGAAGCTTCACGTGCCGAGTGCTTCCACGATTAACACTGTGATGATGATTTTAAAAGCGCTTAAAAGTATTCGTTTGAGTCCTGTCAGGCAATCGCGGGATTGAACCTTGACTTCTTGGTTCCAGGAAAACGTCAGCAGATGATTAAAAGCGCTTAAAAGTATTCGTTTGAGTCCTGTCAGGCAATCGCGGGATTGAACCTTGACTTCTTGGTTCCAGGAAAACGTTTCAGCAGATCACAAGTAGCTTCTGTCACAGACGGGCTTCCCACACATTATTCCCAAATCTCAACCGCTCCCGGATTTAGCTTCCCCTCAGAAACGTCAGCTCTACAAATGGAAATAACGAGGTGCAGGGAAGTGAACCGACTTGTGATTTTTATAGCAAACAACAGATTTCTGGTTTGCTTAACAGCAAGACGGTGCTCGACCCCTGCTGTGCTCACCGGAGTAATTTAGAGGGAGGGCTACCGCGATCCGAGTACTGACCTGACTCTGCTTTAGTTTCAGGGGCGCCCGTTTGACACAAGAGCCAACATGAACGTGGGAACGGCACACAGCGAGGTGAATCCCAACACCCGTGTCATGAACAGCCGGGGCATCTGGTTGTCCTACGTCCTTGGAATCGGCCTGCTGCACGTCGTACTCCTGAGCATCCCCTTCTTCAGCGTCCCTGTGGTTTGGACTCTTACCAACATCATTCACAACATGGTAAGGGAAGAGCGTGGCTGGCTTGACTTCCTGGGGCACGGAGAGGTAATCTCTCAGCACCAGCTGTTCTTTTGAGAGCAATCTAGTAAGATTCTTTTTGAAACAATCCCTTTCTCTGTATTTCCAAAGATGCAGGGTAAGTTACTCAACCTCCACCCCTCAGACTGCACCTTTGCCTCTAGGTCATATATTTAAATCCAGCCTAGGTACTGATGAGACAGCAAACATCTGGTGAGGCTGCTCAGAGGGGACACTGAATTCATTTGCCTGCAGGGTAAGTCCCTTTGTCACGTCCCCCTTAACAGAGGAATAGCTGTGACAGGCCACAGAAACTGGCAGGACAGCTTTCCCCTTGGTTGATACAATCTGAATTGGCCTCATCGGAGTTAAGAAAACAAGATTAAAACCCAAACTTTGTTCTGCTTAAAGTAAAAGATTAGTCCAGGAACAGATTCTCCCCTTCCAAGGATCAGGTACCCAAACGAACGGGTACGTTCACACAGAGAGTGCTGTGCTAGGGGTGCAGAGGTAAGCAGAGCAGACAGACGCGCATGCAGACAGACGCAGGGCACCTGGGCTCTCTGCAATGCCAGAAGCTGCTGTGTTTGCACAGCGCTGTCCTGTGCTGTGCCCTGACAAAGCTGCGGCCACACAGTGACAACTTCCCTAGCGAGCAGGAGAAAACCATGCCCTGTTTAACTGCTCGCTTCCGTGCCTCCGCCATGCCACTGCGCAAGTCTTGGCATGCTTGGGTCCTAGAGCTGAGGAGCAGACCTCTCGGCAGCCGTTCACCCTCAGGCATAGGGGACAAAATACTCCGGAGAGGCAGCAATCGATTTTGTATCCTTTATTTTAAATAACATCTCAGCCCGAGAATATTCCAGAGACAAAAATGACACCCTCATGCTCATGTTATTGATGTCTCTAGTGGGGAAAAAAAACCCCACAAAACGACTGACTAGAGCTGCTCAGGGCTCAGTTCACAAGCTGCCTGCTCTTCATCCAGCTCCTTCCCCTTCTCTGGCAGCTTAAACGATTAGGTCCTGGGAAGAGTTTAAAGGCCAGCAATGGTATACTTAAAAACACGTGCTGTAGCCAGGCACTTGCTGTTTATCTGTGACTTGTGTTCCACTTCGAGAGGTTAACTCGCAATCGGAGCGGTAACAGACCCTCACGGCCTACGGCTCTACCAGCACTTTTTGAGAAAGCATTCAGCATTGCTGTTGCACAGTAGAGCGAGTCCACGCTAATCTCCTGATCCCAGATCTCTGAGCGCTGTAATCTTGCAACCACCTTCTTGGCTCACGCCCAGGAGCTGAACAAGAGGCCTCACGTGTAACAGCCAAGCCTGAGCTAGCCCCGGCTAGCGGCCTTCCTCCCTAACCGTCGCTGCTTCATTAGCCGCTGCGAGTTCCAGCGCATTTTCCAGCAGCGACGATGTGTCCCTCTAGCGGAACAGGGCGCTGGTGCAAGCTCGCACAACTGTGCTGTTCTTGCCGGGGCTGAACGTTTCTGGTGGCGTGGCGAGGGGCAGAGAGAACACTGTGTGCTTCACGCTGCGTTTGTATTTGCTACAGAGTATGTACATCTTCCTACATACCGTGAAAGGAACTCCTTTTGAGACTCCGGACCAGGGGAAGGCTCGGCTGCTCACGCACTGGGAGCAGATGGACTACGGCGTGCAGTTCACGGCATCGCGCAAGTTCCTGACCATCACGCCCATTGTCCTGTGAGTACTTCGGGGCAGCTGAGCTGCCTCACGCGCCTGTACCGATCAACGCTTCTGCTGCACATGCTGTCCTGGGAAACAAAAACATGAAGGGCTATAATTCAGTTTCCCTCTCTCTCTCTTCCCCTCCTTTCCAGGTATTTTCTAACCAGCTTTTACACAAAGTATGACCGGATACACTTCATAATCAACACCATCTCCCTTATGAGCGTCCTGATCCCCAAACTGCCTCAGTTTCATGGAGTCCGGATCTTTGGGATCAATAAGTACTGAACCGCGTGGCTGGAGCGAATTGAAGAGGAGGCAGGGGAGAGGGGGAAGTTCCTTCTCTCTAGTCCTGTTTCTTCACCCCCACGCACACTGGGATATAATTTCACAGCGGCTGTTTAAATGCAGTATCCAATAGACATATACCGCATGCTGGATCCTCATGCCCAATAAATCTAAACAAGCTCCAGAGTAGAGTTTAGTGCGGAGCAGGATGCATGACGCTGGATTTCTTTTATTCCAGCGTCATAAATAGATGCAGATACACTGAGACTTCAAGGTACAAAGACGATGAATTCTGGGGAGATTTTCATCTATCCCAGACACTGAATGATGAGAATAGGGATGAGGGGAAAAGCTTTTAGTGCTGGTACTATTGCTGTGGTAAATGCACTTTAAAATATATTTTCCTTTCTGAAGCTAGGTGCTTTAGGCGATATGTGGGGGAAATTCAAAGGGATACAGCCAGACTTTCCCAATTGATTGTTTCAGGGTTTTAGTTCCATTTTTGGGTGGGGGAGTGGGAGGGGAAAGAGAACAACAGATTTTTATTTTGCAATCTTTTACGCCACTGAGAAAGGAAGTTCTTTTACTAAAAATGGTACAGGAAGGAATGACCTGCAATTTGACAAAGCTTTCAGTTTTCTACGGTACCATTCGTGTGGCTCAGGGAAAAGGTCAATAGATCCTAAATCATACTTGTTATTTTCAGCTTACACCAGAATCTGTCTGGGTAACTCTGCTCCCCACCCCAAACCGCTCATTTTTAAGGGCGCTCTGAGTGCTCAGGCAGTACAGCATTTGGATTAAGGGCTGGGGTGCAGCTCATTTTAATGGTCAACAACAAATGCCACTGAGCTAGTTGGTACACGGAGACTGCACAAGCATGGGAGAAGCTGAAGACTGATGGGTATAGGCCAAACGGGAGACGGAGGGCTGCTTGCTATAATCAGTTAGCGACTGTAATTGGAATTTTTCTCCTCAGTCCAGCTCCTTGGTCTCTTAAGTCTGTGTACGTCTTACTGGGATTTGCCAGTGGACTTAACTCAGTATCTGACTCGAGGCAAGCGAGTGTTTGATTTCTGGCTTACCTAGAAGTCCGTCACTTGGCTCCACGCACAAGTGCTGTGGCAGCATCCCCTGAGCCCTCAGGTGATCACTGGCAAGGGTGAGGGAGCTGCGGGAGAGCAATACTAACAAGCAGCACCGGCAGCAGACTGAACTGACCAACAGAAGGATGCAATGGTCGCTGGAGATGATAGATTTAGTATAGGAACAAAATTGAGCCTTTTTCCCCATAAAGTTACCACCTAAATAAAGTAGATTTGCAGGTTTAGACTTCCTGGCTGAGATAGCTTTCTACTGTTCGAAGCAATCGGTTTTTCTTTTGGGTTGTGTGCCAGATGAAATGTGGTTTTTTCCTCATGCTTCCCCCGTAAACTCATGAAAGCCTGTATTTTTGTTGTCTTAGTGCTTATATTGTCTCACACTTTTGACAATGGTAAAAACATTTTAAATATGCTATTTTTGTTCCTGCATTAGCCAATTCTAGCTTTAGAGGTCGTAGTGGATATTGCTGAGTTCTGTTTGATGGTCTGAGCATAGGACATGGGTAGGGGAACTTCAGGTTTGCATATAAGATCTAGTACTACTCCATGCATGATTTTAGGCAAGCTGCTTTACTTCTCTATCTCAGACTTACTATCGGACTGCTGCAGAGAAGGGAAAAACATTTAGCGTACCTCAGAGGGCTGCTGGAATGCATAGAGAATCATTACCCCTAGTATGTTTGAAAAGTGGAAATATTTTAAGTGAAAAGGAAGTTTTCAAGAAGGTAGAAAGGGAAAAGAGTCCGGCTTGATACCCGAGCGCTGTTCTCCAGCGAGGGAGTTTGACAGATGTGCAATTTACTTGATGGGGGGGTTAAACCTTTTAACCACCATGACATAAGGACTGCTGCTTTAGTTAAGGTACTATATACCCTAAAGCTAATATACTCTTTAAGCTACTAGACAATGACTTTGGAAAAAAAAAAAAAATACTGTTTTCAAAATAGAGTTTTTCCATCAATCAGCTAAGTACCTTTGAAATGACTAAGAAATCAACAGTGTCAATGCCCGGAATGCTCACGGGAAGACCGCTGCCCTCAGAGCTGTAGAGTCCTGTCCGTAACAGGACGGCTAAGGCTGTATCCGTAATGCAGACTGTATGCTGCTTAACAGACCTGAATGTCTGCCCGCAGACACAACTTACATGCCAATGGTAAATCTCCAGAGGAAAGAAAACTATTTACTTATTTTGGTAGAATAGGAGGGGAAAAACATCAACTTTTTTGCGACAGAAACAGTTGCTATATGCTTAAAAACATTACTCCTATATAGACAGATATACTGATTATTTCTAAGTATTTGCACATTACACAAAGTCAAAGCAGTTTTGATATTTTTAGCGCAAGTATAAATTGAAGGTAGGGCTCAGCTCTTCTCGATGAAGTACAGCACTTCACACAGTTTCCTTGAAGACCTTGGCATTATAGCAGCTGAGGGTTTGAACATGTTATTTGTGCTGTTAACTGACGCTATGGACATCCGATTCTGTTTTGTTAAATTAAAGATCAACTGTAAAACAGAATGGGATTGTCAACTTCTCAAAAAGGCAGTTTTTAAAGCCTAAAGTCTAAAACTTCTTGTTAGGCAAAGCCTTAATTATAATAGTAAGCTTTTCTGATTTACCTTGTTCAGACAAGCGATTAAAATAGCCATTACACAGATGTGTTACATGGCAAATGACATTCTTTACAACACAGGGATTGCATTTTTGCCACGGAATAACTGAAGTTAACTTGGACTTACACAGTTAATTCAATCAAGGGAAACATAAATGAAAACTGGAGAAGTATGGAAAGAAGTGAGAGAATTGAAGAAAGATTTCACAATGTGGTGTGTTAAGTATCTACATAAGATTAGTAACTACTTGAACAATTATACATCTGATAGTATCTTCCTTAAGATCCCATCTTAAGGGTAGGTATCAGAATTAATCAAAAATAGAGAAGAAACCATAAGTTAATTGTAATTAAACCACAGTCGCTACTTGTTAGGTGTACCTGAGGCAGTTTTAAGTGAAAGGGGTTTGGGTACCGCTGGTCGAGCCACCCTCATACACCAGTTGTGTGGCTCCTTCTTGTCAGTGTCGCAGGAGCAAGCGGTACCCGACTTACGTTTCCGCTTGGAAACCACCACTGCAGTGGTGTGGAAGTAACTGACACAGTTTTGGGTCTCCTGGAACTCTGTACCAAAACCACTTCTGGTTTATTTGTGTGTGCTAAATTCATACAGGAGTAAGTTCAGCACTCAAAGGCTAATCTTGCACACAAACAAGGTAAAGAGCGTAGTCAAAACATTAACACCCTCATGGAATAACTCATTTCTGAGAAGAGGGAGATCAGGACAGCGTGGGCAGGATGAGGGACTTTCAGACATGTACTTGCAACTAACATAGCAGTGATCCAAGGGCGAAGCCTACCTTTTGCGTGGAGAACCAGAACGGGAGTGCAAAGACTGTCCATTCATTCTTTTAGACTGTAGAATTTTCTCCAAGTACCTGCGTGAAGGAGATAATAGATTGTTATTGATTTTAAATGGGATTTTGATCACATCACACTTGACAGATTTTCCTCTCAAACTTGTACTGGCTTTCTGTATAGTGACTAGGGCGAACGTCAGCTGGAGAATTAAAGGTGGGCTCCGTCCTGTGACTGAGAAACAATTGCTGGATAAGTAGGTACTTAAAATGCTTTTCTTTTTTGTTCTGCAATGAATGCCAAAGGAGAAAAGCTTTTGCAAACCACCACTTGAACTGGCAGAAGCCATCCCTCTGCCCCATCTTGTCCTGGGCAGAGCCTCTTCTAAGCCACTGCCAAGACCATGCGTGTATTCACACAGTATGGCAGTCACTGCACCAGGAAAGTCAGAAAACAATCAAGTACTAACAGCCTGATGCTTCTGAATTAGGGATCCTGTCTTGTGATTCGTTTAACATCGCTAACAGGATGTCACACAGTCCAACCCTTTGCAGGAAAAGTCTTTTTTTAAAAAAAAAAAAGCCTGAGATCTAGGGCTACTTAATTCCCGAATACTTTTTTTTTAGTCATTGTTTAATTTGGTGTTTGTTTTAATAGAAGCATGGTACTGGCCCTTGAAAAGGGGACAGCAGCTGGTTACCATTGTTAACACATTAGTATTTCTCTTTGTGACTTATGTTGCTTTAACATTGCCTATAATATCTTTTAAGCATGCAAGCGTTTGTGTCTAGTATCCTCCTTGGATCACTTTAAGTGAGCTAAATTAGTTGGTTTTGTTTTTTTTAAATGGAACATTCTGACATTGTACAAAGTTTTAGGGTTGTTTTTTTCTCCAGTAGCCCTTCTTTTTGTTGTGTATACAGAAGTCTCACGTAGAGAACTTTCTAAAATAAAGTGTGAATATTTTTATTACTCCTTTGTACAGTATTCTAAGAGAAACTAATAAAGTATTCATGTAAAAACTTGTGTTTGATTCCTTGAATTTTTACGCGGACAGGTTTTGCTTTTAAACAAGCATGGCAAATGAATACGATACGGCAATTCCAAGCCCAAGTGATGGATTGCAGCAAAGCAAAGAGCTTGCAGCCCACCGCATGGATCCCTTTGCAGGGTACCGCACCAGTGAGTTGCATAAACCCTCTGCTACTAACAACAAGCCGTAAAGCATGAAACACGTGTGCATTGCTGGTCAATATAAGTTAATAAAAGTGCCTCCAGAAACATAATATTGTCCCCTTGTCTACGCCACACCTAATGAGTTAGCTCTCTCACGGGTTTAGTGAAATCCTCCTAAACCAGAACACACTGTTCCTCATCCTAACAGATCAGAAGTATAAATGAAAACCAGAACCACACTAGAAATTAAATCTTACAGGAACGATACATCTAGAGGGTACATCTTGAGTAGGGATGTGATCGTGCCCCTGTACTCGGCACTGGTGAGGCCGCACCTCGAATACTGTGTTCAGTTTTGGGCCCCTCACTACAAG